CCCAAGCAAGCAAATGCCAACAACTTCAATGACGATGACTGTTGGGCTACTGTCCCTCCTATGGGGAGTTACTTTCTTGTAATACTTTGACCAGATTCGATTACCCGTTAGGTGTCTAGAATCTAGAGAGCTGAATCAGATCCGTCAGTCCAGCACTCCTTCACTTTACGTTAACTCTTTTGACTAACGAGATGTCCGAGTACTTTGACATCCTAGGCAAGTATTTTGCCAAAGAGGGGGACTAGTGACCAACAAGTGCATCTTTGCTTTTTGGAATACAAGACCATTTTTGATGGCATCACCTCGAAGTAGCTAAAAAAGGTCCCTTCGAAAATGACGGAATTCGAAAAGCGGATGGTTTTTTCTTTCTCTTAAAATAATATAATGCGTACAGCATTACTGTTTTGGTTCTGACATGTAATTAGGGAGCGCATGAAGTTAAGAATTCATGTGAATATATTTGCCAAGGGACAATCGGGGAATTGCGCTGTTTGAAATGTTCCTTGGTTAGACTATAAATATTTTCTAAATAATTCTGCCTCCTAAACAGTTTTGGCGCATCCTTCCCCGGCCTTCCATGTTTGATAAAGTGACGATCACAGCAACTGCTAGAGGATGCTTTCAATTTCGCATCAAGCAGTCATCACAGAGCAAAACGGATTTTCAGAGCACAATGGTTCCACGCTCAGGAACGTACGAATTAGTCTTCCTCAGTTCTTGAGTATCCTAAACCATCCCACATCGTTTAAACCGCAACATTTCTCCTTTAGACACATAATTTTGATCAAAGCGCAGCTACTGTCAGCTGACACCAAACAAAAGTCACATTGGACCCGAGTGTCACGTATTTGAGACACCTGTGGAGGACAAAATTAGCAATTCATTGTCTTTCCTATTTACCATTCCCCATGTTTCCGACCCTATCACGTTCCAAGTCCCAAACCTCCCAGTTAATGGCGTCGAACCTTCAGCACAAAATTTTAGTTGGTGTGAGAGAGCTCGCGATTGCCCCATTAAAGTAGGAAAGATACACAGAATTACAATACAAATTTCCAAATCTCACTTCAACACTCTCAACTTATATTCGGCAAAAATAATTTGACACAGCAATAGTGTTCGCTGTGAAAAAAGCTGTGGATAAATCGGCACCTGTGGATAGACCAGCCAGTAAAGGGCGGTTAGTTGGTTTCAAACCGGGCAATTTTAAGCTTTTTTTATTTGAATACACTTAGTTAACCCGAATTTTGTAAGCCATATCCTTAAAATGACTCCTTCTTTGCACGAGGAGAATCAGTCTCAAGGGATGAGTTCATCAGCCTGGCAAAAACTCGTATTTTCTTTCTAACAGGATGAAATTCACTTAAAACTTTCAAGGTCGCCTTTAAAATGAGCTTATTTTCTATAGGATGAGCTTCAATGAGGGATTTACAGCCAGCTATCTGATTGGATAAATTCTTCGAAAAGGCGTTGTTCACAACCTTGATAATTTTAGCCCATCCCTTCTTTTCACCGGCTATATTTCATTCACCTTATCTAAAATTACAGGAACTATAAGAAGTGGAGGGACATTTTAAGCGCAACTTAAAAATCTGCACTTTGTAATCTGAATAGTATAACTGTGATCTGGTTTCGGGACTGGCTCATGGCAGTTCCGACTCTTATGCACCAACCAATCACATCGCCCACTGTGTATTAATTAAATTCACACTTAGCATTTATTGGTCAACACGCAACCAATAAGACAGTGAACCTACACATGTCAACCAATCGCCTACCAAATTCGTGAGTGAATGATAGGTTCATGAAACTGAACCGAGCTTGAGTAATATATATATATATGCATAAGCTTTGATCCTGCTTCTGAAAAGGACTTCGAGTCACACTCACTTTAAATTGCAGAAATGGCGCATTAGTTCGACTGGCGTAGATGAGTTGATCAGAGAAGAGGAAGAACATGCGCTGTTGATAGCCCTTCTTGGAGAGTTTTTGGAGGAGGCCCTCACGAATAAATTGACGTGAACGAGAAGCAAGCCAACCAGTTGCCTTTTCCCTTCCTGAGCCCGAACTCGTCGCAGTCGTCGTCTCACTTGTCGTCTGCACACCCACGAGATCACGTTCCACCTCGAGAGACTTGTAGAGGTTCTCGCAGCGCTTATAACTGTCCCACTGGGATTGTATGGTGTCCAGAAGGCGTGCATGAGCGACTGAAGTTGGAGAATATTAAGTTCCATTTAGTGTACCAGTCATTTCGGCTCTTTTAAATTTACGCGCGTAGGGTAGGAAGGGGTACTACCGTGGTGTCACTACATTCAGTGATAAGTCAGTCTGGATACGGTTAATCAAGATGGGAGGCAACAGCATTAATGAGCGTGGACATAAAACTTTGTGGGTTAATGAAACTTCTTTTAAACAAAATTCCTGCCTAGAATAAGGTTGATGGCCACCCAGGACACTACGCTGATGGGACGCTCATCTAGTCAGCCATAAGGCGTTGGAGCGCTTTCAACGGTCAGTGGCCCGCTGTCGCGAGCACAGAATAAATGTATACGACAGCTGCCCGGATTTTCTGAACCCAATCAATGCATATGATGAAACCTGGGCACATGACTCCACTTCAGAGAGAAAGCCGTCGTCAAAGCGGTGGAAACACGCATGTTAATCACAATTTAAGCATCAATAATCATGTGAAGCAGACTGTCATAGGGTTTTTTTTAGCCGTACTGACGGATTTCGCCACCTTGAAGCTGCGTCCCGGACACGAGTTGACCTTTGGGGTGGGCGTGCGTGCGCATGTAATAGGAGGTTGTGTCTACAGTTAATTATAGCTGCGTTTTTTTAATTTTAATGTCCCCTTTGATTTCAGCATTCCTTGTACGAAGTAGGCTTTATTTATGAACACGTGGTTAGCAGTTAATCGGCAGCTAAAATAGGGGTCGCCTTTACGAGGGGAGGAGACAGCGCTCTTTCACACCAATTCTCTGGTTAGATTGCCTGTGCCAAAATCACAAATTTACCTGCACTGGTATTCGGCTTAATAGCAGGGCTAAATTCCGCTTTCCTCTGCTTATAAAAGTGGTCAATGCAGCGTGTAATCGGTGATATCTAAAAATGGCACATGATTTCCTCCCTTTGATATTTCCGATGACTTTTAGTGAATAGAAAAGACAAGAGAATTGCGAATTTTAGCCAGGATGAAGGTGCATGTGTGGGAGGAGGCTGGGCACTCACTATGGAAATAGGAATCTCTTCGGTATCGTGAAAAAGTTTGCAATTTTCCCCATCCCAGAGCGCGCAGCTAATGGTCCGCCCTACTAATTTTAACAGTGGTATAACTAGACATAACTGCTAAAAAATTGGAGGCAAATTTACTGACAATATTAAGGTGACATTTGGCGGCACTCAAAGGGAAAACACTCTCCGAAATAAGGTCACCGTGGGGACAGGTAGAGGTATCAGCATCTTCGCGACCTAACATGTCAAATGCCTCATAAGCACTAAAATAGGTAATTACTAAAGCCACAGCGATAATCAATTTATTTTCGACAAAAGTGTAGTTATTCGTAAAAGAAGTACTCTGCTAGGGAACTTGTATGAACCGAGAAGGGGTGTGAATTACTTGACACTGGTAGTCGCCAACATTTTGATTAAAAAGGCACTTTTCTTTAAAATAAATAAACTACTAACCTCTGCAGTCTTGCATATCCGGATTCGACTCATTGTAATGTCGCATCAGACGCTCCAGCACAGATCTGTACTGGAGCAGACGATGCATCGGTTTCAGCAGAAAGGCATAGAAGGGTAGGTAGCAGGACTTTTGAGCCTCGAAGGATTGCATTTTTGATTGGAATGAGGCACGACTTCGAACCAGACGTTCCAAATCGATGATTAGGCATTCAGTTTCACGCAAATATGATCGGTAGAGCTGTGTATAGAAAAATTAAAAATGTAATTGGTTGGTGGTATTCAAGGTCGTGCCGTCATTGGCCAATACTTCGTAGAGATTCGCATAGTTTTAAGTCAATCGACAATTCAATGAACTAATAATCTATCTTTAAACTAAGGAAAATTTCGTCCTCGAAAAATATCAATTACTGGGATGCTTTAAAAAGTGAAATATCTTAGGTGAAGTGTGATTGGTTAGTGGAACTGAAAACAATCAGATGAACCGATCATCATTTAATTTCTGAGAAATAGTGCAACTCGAGTATTTTACAAGAACCTAACCTTAAAGCAAAAGTTTTTTGGATAAAAATGAACATTGAAATCGTCTTCCATTAATTGATAACACTAAATTTAGACATAATGTCAATGTAAAGAAGATTTGAAAGTGTCTAGTCAAAAGAGCGAATTTAGACCGATGCTATCTTTCGAACCCCCTTCCTATAAAATAATGCAGCAGAGCCTGACCTTTAAATAAATTATCAATCATGAAAGGTATAGTTCATTGTAAAATACGATTTTCAGAGCAAAATCTCACTGGTGGGTGATTTGAAAAAGTGTCGCGATAGGAAAATCCACAGAGCGAACACAAAAAGTACCGAAGGGATACAGGAAATCACACAAAATTGAAAGCAAAAAATCTGACAAAATTTAAATACAAACGCTTTAGGAACTTTAAAAACAGGCTTTGAAAAAAAGGGGAATGATCTTGCTTCGAGATAAATCCTTCAATAACGACTCTTTGATGCAAAAACAGCATTTGTATCAGATTGCCAAAAGTACTGACGCATAATTTAGAAATTTCCGTTACAATTCTGAATAGTCATTTCATTTTGGTGGGAAAATAATGCGCATTCGCTTGCCCACAGAAATTTTATGCAGAAGGTTCGGTACAATTGATCTCAAGGTTTAAAAATTGAAACGCGTTAGATGATAAAATGTTAACGCATTCCTTCCAGCCGTCGCATAAACGTGACGCCCAGGTGATGTTAATTGATTGTGGCCAAACGAGACTCAACAGTAGTCGTCATTTGGTCTGAGACATGAGTGCTAAGAAGAAAATTTAAGCCTAAACAGTGAAGGAATGTAAAATATCCCAGGAATGGAAAGGGAATTCACGTGCATTTGAGCTTTTCCTCTGTAATAGAGGTCGGAAGCACACATGGAAGCATCATGGAAGCATCAAGAGGGTTACTCTACTGATGCCGATTTAAGCATTCTTGAAAATACGAAACCAGCTTCCTGCAACCTTGCTTTTCGAATTGGGGCAACTAACACCCTTAGTCTTCATCAACTAAGAATACTCAAACTATCACTATTTGAAAAAATTGGTTCCACATTTTCAAAAAGAATGTTAAGAGTGTTGATTATTGCGTTTTTTCGTTTTAAATTAAAATTTGGCAACTGACTAATTAGGAAGGAGCATGAGCGCATTTTGCAGCGTGATTGGCCAGTGTGCAAGTGACATCCTTTCCATTGGTTTATTTTCTGAAACTGAATGGTAGAATTGAAGGTTTAATATAACTGGTCGGAAATATTGACCAATCATGGGTATACTGTTTAAGCTCGTGCAACGAGAAATGCCATTTGGCAAGTAAGATGTAATAACTTTTTGGAGAAATAAAAAGTGCAAATTCTGTTGCATTCTTCCAATCACGTGAATACCATTCCCATAAATCGTTCTTTAACTTCAATTATTAGAATTTTTAAATATCACATGGGATAAAATTTGGCCAAACGCAAAATTTTACGATTTATTTTGACAAATTTAATTCTGCTAAAATCCCAGCATAGAATGACCCAAAAGGCTCACACGATGTCAGTACCACTGGTAGGAAGCTGCAAAATCTCTGTGGAGACTGCTTTTTCATACCATATTCCTCTTCCTCTGAAACCTCTAACAACAAAGTGCTATCGAATGCAACGCAGGTGCGCCAAACTTGTCTGAATTACGACCTGGGCATAACTCATTTCCACAAACGCATCAGCCTCTCTCTTGGAGATGGTGTGGTTTCATCTAAAATAAAATGTTTTAACTTGCTCTTGCCAATAAATCAGATAAACAACCTACGTCACGAATGGTTGCTAAATAATCTATGGTAAGGAATGGTTTTGTATTTCAAGGTTCGTTGATCGAACGAGCATCTCTTTGGTCATCCCCAAAAGATCTGTCACTTACACAACTCTTCGGCCACAAATATCTATGCCCAACTTTTCGTCATATCCGACTCTGTGCGTGCGAACTGCAAAAGGAGATTTCCAAGATGGATTCCTCTCTACAAGCCAAGCGGTAATTACTTCTGAGATCTGCCTACTCGGTGAGGCTAGGTAGGAGGATATGCTTTTTTCATAACGCCTGACATGGCAGAACATGACAAGTCGAGACCTCATACTACATCCAGCAGAAATTAGCCGTGAGAGAATTTAAACTTTACGATGGGGGGGATGGTGGAAGGCAATACCTTGACCTCATCCTCATCTGCTGTATTCTCCTAATTCTATTCCCTCAAGTGAAATAGGAAGTCTTTATTGAAGCCCAGTTACTTCGAAGCTGGTCACTGTCTCGTTAGGAAAGCATGATGGCTTATACCAGTCACTTTTTCAAGAAATACAAAAAAGGTACGTTGGGGACTTTTCTTGCCAAAAAAACCCTCATGGATTTATTTGGCTTCGTGATACAACAGTGGATCTGTTTCAACACCCAGCGGACCACTAAAACAACAAAATGGGGCACCGAGCTGACATTTCTACTATTTTAATTAACTTTTAAAGGTACCATACTGATGGCTTGAGGAGGAGGGGTCAGTCCCCCATTCCCTTCACTCCCACATCTTATGACCGTAGGAATGGCCGGAAGGCTGTGGTGGTAAAAAGGATATTGGAACGAATATTCTCATTTCACTGGACACCTAATTCGCCAAAATATCATGAAGAGAAGGCATCAGCCGCGGATGACTGAAGTCCCGGAGGCTTACAATAAAAGAAGTATTGGAAACTCATCAAATTTTGACAAGCATTACACTTTCGGATTCCAAGCAATGACCTGTAATGAGGTGCGACCAGATTGGAATAAAAATGATCTGGATATACGACTTGCGCGGAGGGGCGGTCCGCCCAAAAAGGGATACAAAGTTTTTGGAAAGGCCAAAGTAACGTTTTGATGTAATGCGAATCCCAAACTTATTAATGCCCGTTACTGTCTCGCGGTTGGTTACAACCCACAGAAGGCTTATGGTGACTAGAATAAATAAGTGACGGGGGCGACGGTAGATAAACTTAGTCTAAATGATCAACCATCCAGAGATTTTAAAAACAAAGAATTTTCCTCATAGGTGATAAGTAGTAAAGATGGCAAAACACACCTGCAGCATTTTCAGATTCGTGACGAAAAGATCACCAATACGAACCGGCGTTGTTGGTGAGTCCGCATCGACACCGGCGCTGGTGGCGGAGGCAGAGGCGGAGGATGCAGAGCCTGAGGCAGAGGCGCCGGCCGAAGCAGTAGAGGAATGACGATGCGAGCCTCGTGAGGTGCCATCAAGGCGTACGGACCAAGCAGTGAAGCGAGATTCAAGTTCATTTAGAAAATCAATTGCTTGGGCCCGTATTGGGTAGAGGAGGGTAAAGATTTTGGAGAAAACGGATTCCACGGCGGTGGAGTCTTTCAATTCTTCGGTAAATGCCTCACGGAAACCCTGCATGGAGGAGAAGGTCAAAGAGGGACAAGGAAAATCAGTGGATTCATTGACAATTTACTGCTAAGGTGTGAATTTCTCCCCTGGTGAGATCTACCATAATTAGCTAGAAGTTGGTTGCTCTAAACCATTATTTCGTACGACTTGACAAAATTTACGGACTAGGTGTTTGTCAAACTAATGTATACTCCAGCACATTAAATAATGGATAATGGGTAATATTCAACCAAGGTTAAAATATGTTTCTTTACATCATTTCGAATTTTTAAAATAAACACAGAAATCCTATAACCAATGACTGCACAAGACGACAGGAGGCAGAGAGCCAATTAGAAATCATTTTAAGACGGCATGATGCTGATTTGTTTGTGTTAAAATTCGCTCTGCCATTGGTTTGAATAAAAGGCGAATCGCGTGCGTTGCTTTGGAGCTATCTCAAGTCAAAACTGTTAAAGAACTTTCCAAACAATATTGCAAGAAAGTGTAATTTGACGCCAATTCAATATGTTGATCAATTTGAGCAGTGGATGAGAATAAGAAAATAGGTCGGCCATCTGGTGGGAGAATCGTTAGTCCCGAGATTGACTGGTTTTTGAAAACCAATCAGAAATAAATGGCTAGAAAGATATTGAGAAATTAAAAGAATCGCAGAGTTCTACAAGTACTTCGAACTGTTAGAATAAGAATTATGCAATTTGGGTGATAAACTTTAGGCTGGCATGCTATTGGCTGAAAGGCTGGTACAATGGGAAACGTGATTGGTTGGAGCAAGACATAAGAAATACGAGAAAATCAAGTAAAGCGACCCTAATTAAGGGCTTTTAAAGTCAGTAGAATGCCTACTTTTGAGAATAAAATCGCCATGCACAAATGAAGACGCACATTTAATTGCATGTCCGAGCCAAAACAGTAATGCTGTCTACATTATGCTGTTATAAGGCAGAGAAGGAACTTTACCCCTCGTAAAGATTAGTCTACTACTTTTCAAATTTCAGCAATTTTAAGGCGAAAATTTAGGGACGCTACCTCACGGTAATTGTATTATAAATGGTCTTATAGTCCGAAAGCAAAAGATGCGTCTATAGTCAACAATCGCCCGACTTTGACGAAATACCCGTCAAGAATGACAAAGCAATCTGCCATCTGTTTCGTCAAAAGAGTTGACCCAAAGCTAAGAAGTGCTGAATGGACAGATCAGACTCAGTTGCGAGAAAATTATCCCAATAGAAGAGAGAATGCTCCAATGGCCACTTTCTGAAATCTTATTGTGTATCTTAGAGTGGATGGACAACCAAATCGGAGCACTTGGTTGTGGAACTAGCCACATTCCAACCAATCGACTAACCTTGAAACTTTCTTCTGTAAGGGTGGCATTGGAGGCGGTAATACATTAATGAAATCATGAGGCCTTATGAAACAGTCCAAAGTGTTACAAAGAGCGCTCTATTTGGCCCTATGGCATCAAAAGTTGTGCCAAAATCTGTTTTTGCACTGGAAATGGTCCAAATGAACTTCCATGCATTGGATAGCAATAGCTGTCAACAGCCATTGTTATGGCTAAATGCCAAATAAAAAAGGCGAAATTGGGAAAGGTAGGAATGAGGTATGTCTAGCACATTGCAAAGGAGATACAGCGTCGATTGCTTCGAGAAGATGACTCCTTTCCGCATGGCTACGTTGTGAAAGTGTCATAGTTGGCCTCATGTGTGTGTCATCGTCTCTCAGGAGGCCAGTTCAGAAAGAACGACACTCTTTCCTTAAATGTGAGTTTAAAGTGGCAAAGCCGAAGAAGAGTAGATCGTTGAAAGTGAATTCTTTCGTATTTTGCATTCCCAGGTGGGATGTGGCAATTAATGTGAGGTGATCCTACCCTACTCCTACACCTAGGTGAACAGAATAAAGACAAACTGGGTAGTGGCATTCCCACCGACACATTCCCATCTTGGTGCGTAAAATGACATTTCCTTTCCAGTCGAAGTTGAGGAAATAGTTCACTGGCCTTTGACATTGTCAGCCGATGTGAATCCTAACTGCGACAGGGTGATGGGTCCGTGGAAGAGAGGTCGATTTTGTCAGAATGTGTATCAACGCGAGGAGTCCGACAACTTTAGGGATAGGGATTGAGAGAAGGGGGTTTGCCGATCGTCCATGAGGATTTGTAAGTACCCGTGCCTGTCTGTCTGTCGCTCTATCTCACTTCAATCAATCGAATTGGAGAGGCGAATGATGGCAAGTTGACAACTCTCACCCTACTACCGGCAATTCGTCAACGCAATTGTGTTGGCGCGTGTCAACACTCGCTTGTCTTGCATTGCATGAAAGCATCGTCATTGAAGTTGTTGGCATTTGCTTGCTTGGA